TATATATATATATATTAATAAATTATATATAAGTAATAAAGTAATTTAAATTCTCTTTTAGCATAAAGTATTACAACCCATCTAGGTAGTGAAAAATGTTTTTACACTGTTCATACACTTGACCTTTACCTATATCCTGTCATCTGCTGAAACCATTTTCTTTACATTTAATCCTTGTGTCTTTTGTCTTTGTAATGATGTATATAAACCTTGTGTTACCTACTTACTGAATCATACCCATAAAAGAAAGACCAATGTTCTATTAAAAGATGTAGTTTGTTCCACCATACATAAAATTGTTCTCTATGCTTATGAAACCTTGTTTGCCTATTATTAACAGCCTGATAACCTGGTAAGTAAGAAATACATTTGGTCTAGTTGCTGATGTGGTACACTAGTCCAAAAGGGTCTAGTGACTTTATATTGACTGTAAAAGGTTTGTAAATGTTTCATAGTAAAACATTGATATTAATTTCTCAAACCTATCATCTCAAATTGTTTATTTCCAAGAGCAGAAAAGGAAATAACAGCTAATCAGAAAAATTCCTTTCTCTTCCAAATGTTGCTCACTTTTTTGTTTTCTTATTATTTAAATTCTGCATTATGGCATTATGAGTAGCAAAGTATACAGTACCTGTAATATATGGTGTTTGGGGTGGGTGTTATTCATTAAGCTAATATCAAGCCTAGTTACACCAGCGTATAGTAGCAGTGTCATGGTTTGGTACTTATAATGTGTGATGCTAGTTTATACTAATCTAGAGTTTTGTATATCTATCAATGCTTATTCCAGTCCACAAATACTACAGCCACCTCCATCACTTATGTCACATTCCTGTATGAAAATGGAATTGGATTTTGTTCCAAATTACAGTATGCCTTTTATATGACTGCAAGGTGAAGGGTAACATATGTAACATATTGGAACTGTTGGATGTGTTCTTGATACTGTTGCTGATGAGCTGTCGTGAGCCTTGTTGTAAGTGGAATGCAATTTATTAGAGATATGGTAAATTGTCTGACCTTTCTAATCTTGTACAATGCCACAACTTTCATTTGTAGTGATTCAAACTCATAGCACGTACCTTACAAATGTTAGAGCCATCAGGTGATTATCAGCTAATTTATTATTATTGATGTGTCTGAGCAACTGATTTTTACACATGTTCATAGTCTGCTAATGATAGCTTTGTGCACTAGTTGTCAGTTTACAACATATAATTGGCTGGCTTACATTTATCCAGTAGTACTACACATGTGTGAATAATCCAGATGTTTTCTTTGAAGTCTGTTTGGTTCATGAAGTATTTGGAACACTCACTTCAAGCTGACAATTCAGTAATCAGTCATTTGTATTTCAGTTTACTGATCATCATATGCCTAATTTGTGTAATAATAAATGAAAATGGACAACTGACATTGATAATGATTTCAATTATACTTTAGTTAGTACAGTTTATTATTGTGTAGTGAAATATCTGTGGAAGACTATTGTTATGACAGCGGAAGTCACGAGACGCTGGGAGCAGGCATACTGGAGTTTCTAGAAGGATCATGACTTATCGAGAAACCCCACGAATGATCATGAATTTCCCAGTGCGTTCAGGATGCCCCCCTTTTTAGTATATAAGCCTGGCAGATAAAGCTTGCAAGATGATTGATTGAAGAGATATAGATAGATATGCAGATAGATTGAAGATATAGATAATTGAGTCAAGCGAACAGTAGGCACCATAAGTAAAGTGCGTAAACCACTGTGATTTATAGTGTGTGTTATAAAGGTTGTTAAGTTTAACGTACTGATCAGAAATACTGTGTATTACAAAGTTGTATCAAGGGAAAAATAAACTGGTTTAATTAAGAAAGGACTTGTATCGCAGAAGTTCCTCAGAAATAATTTATACCGGAAATTAACAAATGAGCAGATACATAACACTATATTAACTTCATTTAGTCAGGTTACAACGTTCTCCACAGTTATTTGGAATGAATCCTTGGTTGTGGACAGAAGAATATACATTTCAAATCTGTTGTATGAAGGTTTTATTTAAGTATAAGTTTAGGTGTGAACTAAAGCAACATAACTATATACAAAGTAAATGATGATAAAGTAATATATAAGTTTTTATATAGCTTGTAGTAATGGATAAAGTATGAAATTAAATATTTATATACAGGTACCCCAGCAGAAATTCATCTAGCACTACAGTTAATTAGGAATAGATTCCTGTCAAATCAGTTCTCTTCCTTGACTTTAGCCCAAGTGAACATTCCTCTCATGTATAGTATTCCAGTGCCACATACTTTACAGGTGAGATAGAAGTATTAACACTTGTGATTTTATTAACCAGTACTAAGTTTTGTATATCCAGATTCAGTTAATGAAATACTAGAACTCTAAGTACATGTAGCTTAAATTGTGATTAATTCACCAAAGTCCTTACAGCATAGGATAATTAAAAGAAATTCTATCATAAGATTTAGTTGTAAGTATAGTTTCATATTATAAATATATTGTAAAATCAGTATATGATATTGTTTTACAGCTTATTTAATGTGATAACCACTTCTTTTTGTTAAGCTTAGTAATTTGTAGAATTTTCATTACATATTTTTTCTGAGCAAAGACATAAATGCAAAAATAATTATCTTAAGATGTTAACCTGCTTCTTAAACATTCTTGAGTGTAGTAACCTTTCAGCAGTTAATCAAAAAGTTAATTTTTTTTCAGGCAGTGAAGAAAGAAATTGTTAGCCTTAATGGACATAAATAGTGTGTACAAGCTACTGTGTTTAGAGAAAAAGTGTGTAAAGATAGTTTTGTATAATTATGTAATGTAGCAATTATGCACATAAAGTATAGGCTTCATTAAACATAGAGTGCTGTTGTTACTGTTGGATCTCTTTGTAGGAGAATGAATCTATTTAAAATCTTATATGAAGTAAAAAGTGTGATCTTCTGTAGCTATTTGTGTCTATTGTTTTTATAGTTAACTATTTACTAAGGCTGACTTTGACATTAGATTTGTGACCCTTGATTGCTTAATTCAATTTTGTGTTTTAGGCTAAAAAATAACATCACAGAAACTATGATTGCTTTTTTGTTTTTATTATATTCCATGTTCTTGTCTATGAGTGACTGAAGATTTATTTGCCTAGTTTTCCATATTCCTGTGTATAATAATTCTTTTTTTCAGTTTAATAACTAAAGCGGTGTTCCATAGTTTTAATTTTGGTGACTTAAGGTTATTAACAGAACTAAGTATTGAAGAATAATAAGGAAGCATTATAAGTTTTATAGTATGATAAAACCTCTCTTAACTAATCCAGTATTTCTTTGTGTTGAAAGATTTTGCTCAATGTACCTTGAATGTGTACTGCATGTATAATGTGCTAAATCCTTACAATTTTTATGGTTACAGCACTTTATGCACCTTTGTTTTTCTAATTAGTATGAATCACAATGTCACTGATAATTTTCTTAGAAAATAGCAAGCAATATCGAGAAAAAATTAAACGTGAACAAGCAGAATAGCCAATTCTCATATATAAATATATAGCCATGAGAATTACAAAGATTATTAAACACATGAAAAACTGTATAGGTCATTGCTTTCTTTATCTTTTAAAAATATCTGCAAAATCTTATTTTTGTTAAGTCTCCATGAAATGGTACTGTATCTTTAGTTCTTTATTTAGATATGAAGTATTTTGGGTCACTTTACAAAAAAATAAACCAAATTAGTTTTAGATATTGGTATTGTTTATGAACATTTTGATAAATCCAAATTTCAAGGTTAAAGCTATTCTGGTCAAGTGTATATATTGTACTTAAGCATCATGTTTAAATAATTCTTTTTAGACTAATACTTTGAAATGATAAAAACAGTCAAAATTCCTTGTGGTTTGTCCACTATTAACCCTTTCCACACAGGTCAAAGGCCAGTGTTTGTTGACTTGCATTAAAAATTTTATTGAACTACTATTTTATGAATTTATGTCAATAAGTTCGGAATCAAACTGTAGATTATAATTCAAATTTTAGTATTATATACTATTTCTTAATTTAAAAGTAAATATTAAAAAACGCACCTAAACATCGATTTTTGTGTGTCACATGGTACTTTGAATGCAGCACTGGTTTTTCATTACATGTTTGTGATGTCAAAATACAAATTCTGTAGTTTTGTACAAATTAGGAACTCAAATTACTGATATTGACAAGCTAGAATATAAAATAAGAACCTCCTGTCTTTTCTATTTGCTGAGATATTGTTCATGTACTGAATAAAATGCTCTCAGCTCTTTCCATTTTTGGAAATGGTCCTTTACATATATACATAGTTCTATGTATGACATGTGAATAACTAATTGAAAGCTCAGAATGTCCCCTAGTGGCTTTCTCAGCCATTTTAATGTTTTAGGATGTCATCTTGTTCTTTCGAACCAAGATTTCAAAGAGATAGGTTGTGTAGTTAGTCTGCTCGAAATTTCATATTTTTTTAGACAGAAATACAGCTTAGTTACTAAACTTGATAAATTTTAGTGGAATTCTATGGTATCAATATAGTAATTCATGATTTTTCGTTTCACATCCTCCACGTGGTAAATTTCTTAAGGCTTAGCAAACTATGACAAGCAGCAACTGATTATAAAGGTTGTAACTAGAAGAGATAATTGTTCCCTTTACTTCTTTTCTTACTTTCTATGTTTTAAAAAAGTAAGTTTAAGAAGTTATTTGTAAATACTAATAATGTATGTACATATAATAACTGAAATGTGACTATTTTAGAAAATACTAATCCATTAACACACAACCAAGACAGGTCACTTTGTAGAGACTAAATGTCAATTTTATATTATTGGATATCGTAACATGAGTGCACATGTGCCACATCATTGTAACTTCTGTATTGTTAGTCAGGCACAGCTGAAAGGTCAATATAATAAATATA